CTGGGAAGATATGCAACGAAAGTCTGCATTGCTGCTGTGAAGATATGCAACCAAAGTCTGCATTGCAGTGGAAAGATATGCAACCAAAGTCTGCATTGCTGCTGGGAAGATATGCAACTAAAAACAAGATAGTTTACAGGATTGATTCTCTCCTTCCTTCCTTCCCTGTAATTAACTTCTGAATTCCCTTTTCTGCTGCAAAGAAAATGCAGAGAGAATTTCTGGCGGCCCCTTTTTTGATATATTTTTTTTTTTTAAAAAGTATGAAAGTCATACATTTTTGTTCTGATTTCTCCGCCATCCTTGTCGAGCAAAATTCCCTGCTGACCTATCGTGTCTTCCTGCTGGAAAAAAAAAAAAAGTGGAATTTTCTGAAGCCGAGGATTCATTCATCCCTGAAATTGTTTTATTCCACCTTGGCCGACGGACCGGAAAGCAGAAAACCTGTTGCGATCTCCGTGTAGACATCAGAAGTCAAAGCGGAGATTTATTTATTTTTTCCCCCCTCCTTCCGTTTCATTCCTTCCTGCCTGAGCCCTGTACACCTAGTCCTCCGTTTGCAACCGTTCATTTAGTGACCGTCCCAAGTTCCAAGGGCACTGAAAAAAAGTCATTTTTCACACTGGCGACCGTTGCAGCGTTCCCCACCACCACCACGGTCACGTGATCCAAATTCAGACGCTCGGCCCCTGACTCATATTTATGACGGCCGCAGCGTCCCGGGGGAGTCACGTGATCCCTTTTTGTGACGTTTTGGCAAGCAAAGTCAAAGCTGGATTCACTTCACAACCGCGTGACTAATTTAACAACTGCAGCGATTCACTTAACAACTCGTAAAAGGTCGTAAAATGGGGCACCGCTGGCTTAGCAAATGTCCCACTTAGCAACAGAAAGGCCCTTACTGTATTTATTTAAAAATCCTGATTCCGGAGCAGGTAAACGCCTGGTAGAGAGGCATCAAGGATGCAACTCGGAGGGCTTCTATTATTAATAACCACATAAAATTGGATCCATATCCTTACATTCCTCTGAGCTGCTCCAGACATTAAATATGATTCTTCCCCCCCCCGTGTTATTATTTTAGAAGTATTAATAATTTATCTTGGCACGTAAGACTGGCAGTCCTTTTTAAACGATCTGATGCCCGATCGGAAAAAAAACGAATATTAATATTTAAATATCGACGAACGGCACAAGAAGGAGAGAAAACATTTCGCCTGGGTGACATCTGGTGTCATCTATTCCCCTTTGGTATCTCACTCCCCTACACACACACACATACACACTCAAATATATATGATTTCACACCGTTTGGTAGTTTACAAAGTCATCGGATCAGCTGCGCGGTATTTGAACCCAGAGTCGCTTTGGATCGTGGGTCTTCAAACTTGGCCCTTTGATGACGTGTGGACTTCAACTCCCAGAATTCCTCAGCCAGCATGCCTGGCTGAGGAATTCTGGGAGGGGTCTTCAAACGTGGCCCTTTTATGACGTGTGGACTTCAACTCCCAGAATTCCTCAGCCAGGCACGGGTGCCTGGCTGAGGGATTCTGGGAGTTGAAGTCCACAAGTCATCAAAGAGCCAAGTATGAAGACCCCTGCTTTGGATAATGAGGAGGGCAGAATATCAATTTAATGTCTAAAATATAAAATATAAGATTTGTTGGGAGAGAACTGACAGTCCTCAAGCTCTGGGCCAAACAGGGAAATAAAGAAGAGACATACCTGAACGAAGGCAGTAAAAAAACCAGATCTTTATCATGGCCAAGAACATTTCACCAAGAGAAAGACTTCATCTTATAACCTTTAAGGAAGTCCAAAAAAATCCAGTGAAATTCTCCGGAGAGCCAGTCAATAAAACCCTATCAACTTACTCAACTGTTGGGGTGCCTTCCTGATGTTTTGGGGTGACACTTCCCAGAGTTTCAAACCATGATAGTCCCAGAGACGTTGAGAGGTCTCTATGGAGGTCCACCAGGTTAAAGAAGGCTTTTTAAGGGTACCGATGAGACCACAACTATTTAGGGTGTGTTGGTAGTTATGGGGTTGTTGAAGAAGTTAAGACTTGAAAAACAAATAAGTAGCACTTTCATCTGTATGTTGATCACATTTAACAAATCTGTACTTTGCTTTTAATGATGCTCTGAAGGGCTTGGGGTTCAAGACCATCTGTCATCAGCTGGGAGGGAGTCTCTGTACAGGTAGTCCTTGAGTTACGATACTTCGCTTAGTGACCGTTCTAAATTACAATAGCACTGTTTCCTGACAGTGAGAACAATTAACCAGTGGAAGGACTTGCCTCCAGATGTTGTGGAAGTTTTTAAGAAGAGACTGGACAGCCATTTGTCTGAAATGGTATAGGGCTTCCCTGCCTGAGAAGGGGGTTGGACTAGATGACCTCCAAGGTCCCTTCCAACTCTGTTATTCTATTCTATTCTATTCTATTCTATTCTATTCTATTCTATTCTTATTTCTTATTATTCTATTCTATTCTCTTTTCTCTTTTCTATTCTATTCTTATTTCTTATTATTCTATTCTATTTTCTCTTCTTTTTTCTCTTTTCTCTTTTCTTTCTATTCTATTCTAATTTCTTATTATTCTATTCTATTCTATTTTCTCTTCTCTTCTCTTCTCTTCTCTTCTCTTCTCTTCTCTTCTCTTTTCTCTTTTCTCTCTTCTCTTCTCTTCTCTTCTCTTCTATTCTATTCTCTTCTATTCTATTCTTATTTCTTATTCTATTTTCTATTTTCTATTTTCTCTATTCTATTCTATTCTATTCTATTCTATTCTATTCTATTCTATTCTATTCTATTCTATTCTATTCTATTCTATTCTTCTATTCCATTCCATTCCATTCCATTCCATTCTATTCTATTCTTATTTCTTATTATTCTATTCTATTCTCTTTTCTCTTTTCTTTTTTTCTATTCTATTCTATTCTATTCTATTCTATTCTATTCTTATCTTCTCTTCTATTAACAATTGTGTGACTAACTTAACAACTGCAGTGATTCACTTTACAACTGTAAAGTCGTAAAATGGGGCAAAACAAATCTCTCGCTTAACAACAGAAATTTTGGGCTCAATTGTGGTCGTAAGTCGAGGGCCACCTATATAAATGGGGCATAGCGTCCTCCCCTCAGTGTGACTGTGGGGTCTCAGGTCAAAGCTGCAGATCACATCGTGACCGGTCGTAAGCTGAGGGCAGATACCGGCCCAGACCCTTGTTAAGTGGATTTGGCCCCATTTTACCACCTTCCTTGCCTCAGTTGTTAAGTGAATGCTTTGAGTTGATAAGTTAGTCACCTGGTTGTTAAATGAATCCTGCTTCCCCCATGGACTTTGCTTGTCAGAAGGTTGCAAAAGGGGATCACGTGAACCCCCCATCCGGGACGCTGCAACGGTCATAAAGATGAATCAGTTGCCAAACCTCTGAATTTTGATCACATGATCACAGGGGTGCTGCAATGGCTGTAACTGTGAAAAACGGTCGTAGGTCGCAATTTTTAGTGCTGCTGTAAATCCGAATGGTCATTAAAATGAATTGTTGTGAGTTGAGGACTACCTGTATGTGTGATAGGCCATGCGCTAAATAAATCAAGACGATCCGCTGGACAGCCCCAGTGCCAATCGATCCATACTGGGAATGGGAGATGGTTTTAAAGAATCCCCTCACCTACCTGCCTTGACCCAAAGGTGCTTTTCCACGAGGCAACTGGGACTTTCTTGTTTTTCCTCTGAAGACGTTTCGCTTCTCATCCCAGAAGCTTCTTCCGGTTCTGACTGAATGGTGGGGAACGGAAGTATTTATACTCCTTGCAGACAGCTGGTCATTTGCGCTCTTTCTCAGAATCGTCGAGGCCTCTTGGAGGTTTTTCTGTCACCTGAGTGGCGCAAATGGGCGTGGAGCCTTCTTGGAACTGCTGAAAGGATTTGTGTTGTAGAGTGGAGGTAGATGATGTCCTATCCCTCCCCTTCTGTTGAGGGAGGGGCTGTTCAGTTTTGACCCAGATGGCCTCTTGGACCCCTTTTTCAAACCAGCGGTCCCCTCCGCCCAAAATGTGGCCTTCGAAAAAGCGGCTTTTGTCTTTTAAATGCAGATGACGGACCGCTGAATCTTGTCCTGGTGGGTTTGTCCTCCTATGTTGCGCCGTGCGTTTGTGAAGCGGTTGTGAAGCTACAGATCTGCACACGGCTCACTGCTCTGTACTGCATCTACCACGTCGCTCAGTTTATAACAACAATAATAATAATAATGATGATGATGATGATGATGATGATGATGATGATGATGATGATGATGATGGAAGGGACCTTGGAGGTCATCTAGTCCAGCCCCCTGCTCAGGGAGGAAACCTACACCATTTTGGACAAATGGCTGTCCAGTCTCTTCTTAAAAACCTCCAGTGTTGGAGCGTTCACCGCTTCTGGAGGCAGGTTGTTCCACTGGTTAATTGTTCTAACTGTCAGGAAGTTTCTCCTTCGTTCTAGGTTGCTTCTCTCCTTGATGAGTTTCCATCCGTTGCTTCTTGTCCTGCCTTCAGGTGCTTTGGAGAATAGCTTGACTCCCTCTTCTTTGGGGCAGCCCCTGAGATAGTGGAAGACTGCTATCATGTTCTCCCCTCGTCCTTCTCTTCATTAAACTAGACATACCCAATTCCAGCAACCATTCCTTGTACGTTTTAGCCTCCAGTCCCCTAATCATCTTTGTTGCTCTTCTCTGTACTCTTTCTAGAGTCTCAACATCGTTTTTACACCGTGGTGACCAAAACTGGATGTAGTATTCCAAATGTGGCCTTACCAAGGCCTTGTAAAGCGGTATTAATACTTTGCGTGATCTTGATTCTATCCCTCTGATAATGCAGCCTAGCACTGTGTTGCGTCTGGGCGTTTTATCCTTGGGGTGGACAAGCTTCTGCCTTAGTGCGTTCTTGGGTGTGTATTCCCACCTACCTTGAGTTCATTCTTTCTTCCTTTCCTTTCCGTGGAACGGTTCTAGGTCTGGTTCCAGAACGCCCGAGCCAAATTCCGACGGAACCTCTTACGCCAGGAGAACACGGGAGTGGACAAGGCCTCCGATTCGGCCCTCCAGGCCGGCACCCCATCCGGACCGGCATCGGAGATCTCCAACACCTCCTTGAGCCCCTCCCGGACCCCCACCACCTTAACAGACTTGACGAACCCTAGCATGCCCTCCGTGACTTCGGTCTTGGGCTCCGTGTCCGGCAGCTTGGACGTCCACGAATCCCGCAGCCCTTCACAGACCACGCTGACCAACCTCTTCTGATGACCACCACCTCCGCGGCTCCAGGGGCGGCGTGTGCGCGTCTCTGTGTGTCTTACCTTTTTAAGGAAAGAAACGATTCTTAGTCCAATTCCAAATGGATTTTCTTTTTCTTTTTCAACTCGGGACACCACACTGGGCTCCAGCTCCAAAGCCGGGCGGGACAAGTCCGGCGAGGTCTGAAAGGCCCCCCCCCGTGGATTGGAGGGCTGACTTGGAATGACCACTGCCCACACAACCTTTGTGTCAGTGTACAGTTTTATGGACTGGGCCAGGGAAATGGCAATTAATTTAAGTTGGCTAAAGCTTGTGTGATTTTTTTTTTTCTTCCAGAGACTGCCACGTGCCTTATTTACTGTCCATTTCTTTTTCTCCTAAACCCCGGCCTATTTTTTTTTTTGGTTTCCCCCTTTCTCTCTCTGTATATTTATGACCCCGTCCGAAGACCACGCAAACTACAGAAAGGAGGGGTGGGTGGGGGCGGGGGAGAGAAGTGAAAATGTGAATATGAATTTTGCTACTTTAAATTAAGTCCTAAACCTTTCACTTGGTCGTTCTGACGTCTTAGGACCGAAACTCAGAAGAAGTGACACACGTCTGTTCCGCTATCAAAATTTGTAAAAAAAATAAATAAAAATAAAAATAAAATCTAACCAATAATAAAGCCACTTAATGGAAATGACCTCCACGTTAGTTGCCCTCGCAATGAAAGATGAGAGATTTAGGCGAGGAGGAGGAGGAGGAAGAGGAGGAGGAGGAGAAAGGGAAAGAGAAGGAGAAAGAATGGAAAGAGAAGAGGAAGGAATGGTGGAAAGAGGAGGAGGAGGAGAAGAAGAGGGAAAGGAGAAGGAGAGGAAGGAATGGGGGAAAGGGAGGAGGAGAAGGAAAAGAGAAAGAGGAGAAGGAGGAGGAATAATGGTGGAAAGGGAGGAGAAGGAGAAGGAGGAGAGAAGAAGGAGAAGGAGGAGAAGGAGAGGAAGGAATAATGGTGGAAAGGGAGGAGGAGGAGAAGGAGGAGAAGGAGAAGAGAAGGAGGAGAAGAAGGAATAATGGAAAGGGAGGAGGAGAAGGAAGAGAAGGAAGAGGAGGAGGAATAAAGGGGAAAGGGAGGAGGAGAAGAAGAGAAAGGAAGGAATGGTGGAAAGGGAGGAGAAGGAGAAGGAGGAGAGAAGAAGGAGAAGAGAAGGAGGAGAAGGAGAAGGAGGAGAAGGAATAATGGTGGAAAGGGAGGAGGAGAAGGAGAAGAGAAGGAGGAGAAGGGGGAGAGGAAGGAATGGTGGAAAGGGAGGAGAAGGAGAAGGAGGAGAGAAGAAGGAGAAGGAGAAGGAGGAGAGAAGAAGGAGAAGGAAGAAAAGGAATAATGGTGGAAAGGGAGGAGAAGGAGAAGAGAAGGAGGAGAAGGAGGAGAGGAAGGAATGGTGGAAAGGGAGGAGGAGGAGAAGGAGAAGGAGGAGAGGAAGGAATAATGGTGGAAAGGGAGGAAGAGGAGAAGAGAAGGAGAAGGAGGAGAAGGAGGAGAAGAAGGAATAATGGTGGGAAGAGAGGAGGAGAGGAAGAAATGGAAAGGGAAGGAGGAAGAGAAGGAGAAGAGGAGAACGAAAAGGAGAGGAAGGAATGGTGGAAAAGGAGGAGGAGGAGAAGAGAAGGAGGAGAAGAAAGAATAATGGTGGAAAGGGAGGAAGAGGAGAGGAAGAAATGGCAGAAAGGGAAGAGGAGGAGGAGAAAGAGAGGAGAAGGAGGAGGAGAAGAAAGAATAACGATGGAAAGGGAGGAGGAGGAGGAGGAGGAGATGGAGACATTCTCAAGAACCTTTTTTGGACCTGTCTCCCCCATAAAACCAAGAGGAGACTAGGACTTCCCTCCTTTTTTCACTCCCCAGAGAAAGAGGTATTAACGTTGATGAAACGATAGCCCTTCTTCAACATCCTGATCTGCTTCAGATCACCGGACTACAGCTCCCATCAGGCTAGGCAGCCAGAACTGTCCTAAGTCCTAAGTCCCAAAGCCAAACACCCACCTTCCCTCCTCAGTCCTTTAACGCTTCTTGCAATAACAGAATGAAAAGATAACGGCACTGAGACGGATTGTGCTGATTGGCCAATAAAAAAAATTGCCGACCACAGCTGGGCTACCCGCTATGTTAAGCTATGCAGGGCTTATCTCTGGCTTGTCAAACAAACCATAGTAGGCTGACTCTGAAGCATACCAGTGAGTAGACCCAGCATTGTGGCCACAGGAAGGTTGACGGTTCCTTTAAAATGGAAAGTGCAAGAAAATAGACTTGGGAATTTTTACGGAAGTCTGTTATCTTTGCTTGGGGGTCTGGAAGAGAGACGTTCAAGTCAGCTGAGCGAAAAATCAAATAAATGCCTTAAAAGGTATTTTAAAACCCTCTAAAATGGAGACTGGATGGTGAAATTTTAGCTGGGAGGTTGGGTTGGGGAGAAGACACACATCTGAATGGGGTTCATGGCTGTGGTTGACTAGGATGGCCTTGCGTTGACTTAGTCATGGGCCCAGTTGGGTTTGCTAACCTCCACAGGTGGAGCAGTTGATGAAGCCTCAGCTGAGACACCCTGGGAGACAGCAGCTAACCAAGCTACAACTGCTTCCTGCTACAGAAGGCCTCCCATTGGTTGGTTTCCACCTCCTTCCCCCAGTTTGAGCAATCTTCTGAGAAGACCTCAGCTCTGTTTAGTCTCCATTACTGGAAGCGTCGAGTTCAGAGGATTTCTCTATGCTCCTGCTGTAATTCCAGGATAATGTCAAAGATGAGAAGGTAATTTGGGGTCATTGATGACTTCTTGGGAAGAGAATGGTTGCTGGAATGGGGTATGTCTAGTTCAGGGGCCTTCAAAATGGGCCCTTTAATGACTTGTGGACTTCAACTCCCAGAATTCCTCAGCCAGGCGTGCCTGGCTGAGGAATTCTGGGAGTTGAAGTCCACAAGTCATCAAAGAGCCACGTTTGAAGACCCCTGGCTTATATGGTCCACGTTGGCTGAGGAATTCTGGGAGTTGAAGTCCACAAGTCATCAAAGGGCCAAGTTTGAAGACCCCTGGTCTAGTTTAATGAAGAGAAGGACAAGGGCAGTGGTGGGATTCAGCCAGTTCGCACCAGTTCGGCAGAACCAGTAGCTAATTTTTTGTTGCCCAGGCCCAGAATGGACTTCCGGAAGCGGCATCCACACAGAGAACTGGTTGTTCACATATTTGAATCCCACCACTGGACGAGGGGTGATATGATAGCCGTCTTCCAATACCTCAGGGGCTGCCCCAAAGAAGAGGGAGTCAAGCTATTCTCCAAAGCGCCTGAAGGCAGGACAAGAAGCAACGGATGGAAACTAATCAAGGAGAGAAGCAACCTGGAACTAAGGAGAAACTTCCTGACAGTGAGAACAATTAACCAGTGGAACAACCTGCCTCCAGAAGCGGTGAAGGCTCCAACACTGGAAGTTTTTAAGAAGAGACTGGACAGCCATTTGTCTGAAATGGTATAGGGCAGTGATGGCGAACCTTTTAGAGACCGAGTGCCCAAACTACAACCCAAAACCCACTTATGTATCGTCGGGTGCCAGGTGGGCACGGCCCATTGGGTGGGTGTGGCCAGTTGGGTGTATGTGGTCAATTGGGTAGGCGTCACCCATTGGTGGGCGTGGCTGTGGTGGTTACGGCAGGCTGGGTGGGACTAAAAAGTTCAATCAATCAATTCCAAATTTGCAAGATCTTTTTTTTCCCTGCGAGAAGTTGAAATATATTGATTGATTGAACCTTTTTTTTTGCACACGGCGGCGGAGGCCTAAAGCGAAAAGGTTTTATAAAACCCAGCTGAAGGCCTAAGACTGGGGCGATGGCGCGCGTGCCCACAGAGAGGGCTCTGCGTGCCACCTGTGGCACGCGTGCCTTCGGTTCGCCACCACAGACCTATACCATCTCAGACAAGTGACTGTCTAGCCTCTTCTTAAAAATCTCCAGTGATGGAGCGCCCACGATTTCTGGTGGCAAGCTGTTCCACTGGTTGATTGTCCTTCCTGTCAGGAAGTTTCTCCTTAATTCCAGGTTGCTTCTCTCCTTGATCAGTTTCCATCCATTGTTTCTCGTCCTTCTCTCTGGTGCTCTGGTGAACAACCTGTCCCCCTCTTCCTTGTGGCAGCCCCTCAAATACTGGAACGCTGCTATCCTGTCCCCCCTAGTCCTTCTTTTCTCTAGACTAGCCAAACCCAAGACCTGCAGCCGTTCTTCGTATGATTTAGTCTCCAGGCCTTGGATCATCTTACTTGCTTTTCTCTGAATTTTTTTTTCCAAACTCTCAACATCTTTTTTGTGATATGGTGACCAAAACTGGCTGCAGTATTCCAGGTGTGGCCTTACTAGGGCTTTGTAAAGCTGTAGGAGCTTGCTTCCCTTTGGGCCCTCCTGGGCTTGCCCGTGCTAATTATCTCTTGCCTCATTTTTAAAAGGCCACCTGGTTTCCTTTCTGACGTGGTCTCTTTCCTTATTCTGATTGTCTCTTTTCTCTCCCTGGAGACCCGCGCTGCTCCAGGAATAAAGGGCTACTGCCTCCCCCACCTGCAGCCCCCGAGGCTTTTGTAGCCAGCCAACTCTGTTGAAACAACAGCTTTGGGTTGCGTCAGGGACCCTCCCCTCTCTCTTTTTTTGCACCGTGCAACTCTTAAAACAAGCCCCCAGAGGAAGAGAAATCCCACCCCCCAGGAATGGGGATTAACCTGGACACCTTGCCTCCTTCCAGATGGGTGGCTTAGAATCCCTACCAAGTCCATCAGCCAGCAAGGAATCAGTTGGGGAATTTGATTTGGAAGCGGGGGGCAGACTCTTCCCCTTCTTCCTCACCTAGGAACAGGTCCGGCCTGGCAGGGCGTGGCCCATTGGGTGGGCATGGCTGCGGTGGTAACGGCAGACTGGGTGGGATTAAAAAGTTCAATCAATCAATTCCAACTTTGCAAGATCTTTTTTTTTCCCGCGAGAAGTTGAAATTGATTGATT